AATTACAATGATTATATTATTATACTATAGAGAGAAAGAAAGATTTTCATAGAAATCAGAGAGAAGGATATTTCTTTTTCCAAATTGTTCCAAAATATTGGTAATAATATTGGAAAAAGAAATTTAAATACATCAATAATCATAATAAATCACATAATATTATTATATATAATATTATACAATTAAAGAAAAAAGATCGTATCCCTTTTGACGCATCATTTTCATATTATCCTACCAATTGTGTTCTATCAAATTTGTCCTTCCCATTATATCCTTATAAAATACGTTTCTTATTGCATAAGAAGACAAAAAAAAAAGTAATAATAATAATAATAAAAATAGTAAACAAATGTGATCCCTCGTAGAAGTTTCATTTTTAACAATGATTTCGAGCTGACAAAAAATTTCCTCGTTGACTTCTCCTATTTCTTTTTCTTTTTCTTTTTTTTTCCCTTCCTTCTTTGTCTCGCCTTTTTTTTCTTTATTGTTCATATCTTCTCTTTTTATTTTTATTTTTATTTTTTTTTGCTTTTTTATTTATTTTTATTTTTTTTTATTTTGTTTCGTTTCACGCTTTTGTTTTGTTAAATTTTCTTTTGTTATCTCAGGCACTCCGTCTATAAACCGCGATTAAAACACAACGCAAATATTACCGCAATTTAACGAGTATCTATTATAATATTCGATTAAAAATACCGATTTGCGCCATTGTCAAAGGCATCGTATCTAAAGCACGTTATAAAGACTCTATTCTCGCCATGATTTTTCACGAATCCTTTCGAAGGAATCGCGCGCGCGAATTGATGTTACTCTTAATATACGTATATATATATATATATATGTATACATATATATGTATATTTTTTTTTTTAAATCGAAAGTATCGTGAAAAGGAACACGGGAGTTCGCGACGAATCGAAAGGAATCGTACGTGCGTGTGTGCCTCCGTTTCGGATTTTCTTTCACTTCTTTATCTTCTATCTTTCTTCCTCTTCTTTCATCAATCTTCTCCTTCTTCGTAAAACCCACTTATCCGATATTCACAGCACATTAATAAGTGCACAACAGTACCAAAATTAGTCTCTCTAAAGTCTCTTTCTTTTTCTCTTCATTCTTTCTTCATATGTCTCTCTCTCTCTCTCTCTCTCTTTCACTCTCTCTCTCTCTCTCTTTTTCTTTCTCTTTTTTTATCTCATTCATCGTTCCATTCTCTATGTAATATATCTCGAACGATACACTTTTTAAATGAGGCACTTGCCCTAATATATATATATATATAATATATATATATATACTCACTTGACGAAATCTCTTTTTTCATAATCCTCTTCTAATCGTTTCTTTATATCTCTCTCTCTCTCTCTCTCTCTCTATCTTTCTCTCTTTCTCTCTCTCTCTCTCTATCTTTCTCTCTTTCTCTCTCTCTCTCTCTCTCTCTGGGTTTCTATCGATCTGTACAAGAAAATTTGCCAACAATTAGTACAACGGAAGGCACGCCTCGTCTCGCGCGAATGCTCATTAGTAATGTCTCTACTACGCATAACAATTTTATTTTATTTCCATTTTTTTCTTATGTTTGTTCTTCTTTTTCTTCTTTTTATTTCCCCTCCCCTCTCCTTCTCTCTCTCTCTCTCTCTCTCTCATTCTTTCTTTCTTTCTTTTTCTTTTTCATTTAGTATTCTTATTTAAGCACCTATACAAAACACACACAGGCCACTTCTACGAACACACAACAGTACTATATATTCTGATCCATATCACATTAGTACAACGGTACACATCGAGAAACGACGATAACGTATGTATATAGATAAATACATACGTCCTTTTCATCCTTACAGTTCAGTTCAGTTCAGTTCAATTCATTTTAGTTCAGTTCAGTTCATTTCATTCCTTCGAATGTTGTCCTTCGTCCTAGATTCCGTTCGCTGTCTTCTACCGAGAAACGGAAAATGAGAATGTTACTCTCGACATGGATCCCATTTAATGAGATTGACGTCTATCTTAAATGACGTCAAACGAACGAACCAACGACGAAAAGAAGATCATTCGATAAGAGAGTGGTTTAAAAAAGGGAGAGAGATAAAGGGAGGGGAAGGAAAGAGACAGAGACAGAGAGAGAGAGAGAGAGAGAGAGAGAGAGAGAGAGAGAGAGAGAGAGAGAGAGAGAGAGAGAGAGAGAGAGAGAGAGAAAGAGAGAGGGAGGGAGGGAGAACGAATCGTCGAGAGTATTAGTTTAAAAAAATAGTTCGTTATTCCCACGTTGTTGCGTCCTACGACGGAAGATCATTTCTCATTCTTCATCTTCATCATCTTCATCGAAATTATCCCAGCTTCTTTACGGAAGGAGACGTAGCATTTTGTTTTCTTCTTTTTCTTCATCTTCTTCTTCTTCTTCTTCTTCTGCTTCTTCTTCTTCTTTTTCTTCTACTTGTTATTCTCTTCCTTTTCCATATTTCAAATTCGAAGAAATCGAACCAACACGAAAAAATCACATCTCGCCGTAATCAGGTAACGTTGACACTACGTATCGTACGATAATTACACCTCATAGTTATCTATCTATATATATATATATATATATATATATATATATATATATATACATATATATATATATATATTTATATATATATATGTATGTACGCATGTATGTATGTATTTTAATAATTCTTGCGATGTAAGATTTAAGATTTTTCGATATATATATATATATATATATATATATATATATATATATATGTATATATACATACATAAATACACACATACACACATATATATACGTATATACGAATATATGTTTATTATATATCGGTTTCGGAACATTCTCGTACTTTATGTCGATATTCGTGGATCGACAGTTCATTTGTCACGTGGCACCTGATAGACCAGTCCCTGGCGAAAGAGCATAGAATCATTGATGCTATTTCGTTTCCTTCGGCGATTAATATGCCTGAAGAGACGAGTTTCAGTGTTGATTGATCTCGAAGTAGTTCGAGAATTGCTCGGCTCCTGCTGGGACGCTGCCATGTATCTAACCATGTCATTGAAGTTCGGTAAAAATTGTGGATTGAAAAGTGATAGGATCCTCTCGTTTAGTTCGCGAGGATTTCGCGTTGGTACCATATAATGGTCGCGTGGATTTGAGGGATCACTTGTTTGGGCGAGATCAAATACGAAGGACGCTGAGTTGGTTGTCGCCGAATTACGGCGTAGTTTGCGAAGGAGATCGTTCGAATTGGTACTGATGGTTGTCATAGCGCTGCTGCTACTGTTGCTACTGCTGTTACTGTCGCTACGTTTACGAGGACAATTGTTAGGATTCGTGCTAATAACCGTTTCGATATAGTCCAACTCTTTGCCCTCTCCTCCTCCTCCTCCTCTTCCTACACTCCGCAATGGTCCTCCTCTTGATTCTTGACGAGGAACGACACGATGATTGTGTGATTGTTGGTACGGATGATATCGCGCATCAAAGAGGTCTGTTGTTTCTTTCGATGAAGATAGGAGGAACTCGAGAGGAACCCACGGCTCGTTTTTGTTATCATAGGACTCGACGATGCCAGAGGAAATCGATGATCGTTGATTAGGAATGCAATAGCTCGCTAATTCTTCCTTGATGTTTTTCCTATCTTCTATTTTTCTATCGTTTCTCTCCTTGTTGCATTCACCACCTTCATCGTAATCATCATTATTGCCGTCATTGTCATCGTCATCGTCCTCCTCTTCCTCGTCCTCTTCCTCCTCTTCGTCGTCGTTTCGATCGTCCGACTCGGCGAGGTCGAAGGACGAGGAGGAAGTACCGAAGTCCGTGGGATCCTGTGATGATAAGCCTCAAACGGCTCTTTGTCGCCTTCTGTATCATATGTACGTTTTCTTCACCTTCTGCACCGGCTTATTCTCCGCCGATGAATTCGCGTTTTTACCGTTTGGATTTTTCGGTGGTACGTTCAGAACGAGATTGATGGATTTGTTGTTGAAACCAGGTGATTCCGAACTCTCTGTTAAACGGTTCAATTGTTGACGTTGTTCAGATGGTTCTGGATAAGGAGTACCACGTAGTCTTTGGGAAAACCAGAAACCGGATGCGAAACCAGCGACCAATGAGAAAAGACAGGTTCCTATCAGGGCACCGGTTAATGTTTGTGCCGAGTATACCACTGGTGTCACTATGACGCCTGAAACGAAATAATAAATAGATCAGACCATTAACTGGATTAGAAATCTTGTGTAAAACTCTGTTATCTCTTCTTAATCATGATCTTTCTGTCGTATACTCCATGTTGCTTACAATTATTATAAAAAGTATAAAAGAATAAATGACTTAGATCAAAGCCATCGTTTTATTATTTATCCGATCAGATAAACAAAGTCAATATATATTAATGGTTATTTTATTTTAGAATAAAACGAGACAGGACTTCGACCACATAAGGTTAGGAAAGGAACATCAAAGCGAGGACAATGCGAATCGATACCTTGGATTAGAGAAAGGAAAAACAATGTACGGGAAGGAAGATAGTCCGGTAGAACGTGCAACGATGCCCGCGGGACATGATCCTTCGAAGCAAAAGTTAGAACGGGCTTGTGCGTTAGAAAGGACACGCTTGGGAATAGGTTCGTTGATTACGCACTGTGTGTCTCGGTACGCTCGAGTTACAACGAACATGTATGTATTATATGTGTCTACGGATACGTTATATCGACGAGTACACAAGATCCGACGTGAAAAACGTAAATAAATGAAAAATGGTAAAGCTAAGAGGGAAAGGTAGATAGGTAGCTTAGCTTCGATCTTGATAAGAGATAAAATGTATCCTCAAAGTATTGATTTGATCTTAATCTTTAAAAGGTTATCATCTATTATTCTCCCAAGCTAATTTTTTTTTGTTATACTAACAAAGAGAGAGAGAGAGAAAAAGAGAAAAAATAAAAAACATGAGAAAATTTATTTCTTTTATGATACAAGATCAAATCAAAGATTTTGATCTTAATCC